TGTAAATGGATTATTATACGTTCTTTGCACGATGTGCACATAATTAACTCTTGTCTGTCTGCCCTTCCTTCTGTAAGTCCGCATGATTCAACTAAAAAATCGCTGAACGGATTTGGAAAAAATATGGTATGGATGTTATGGAATTGGGAAGTATTGTACTTTACAATTTCCTACGATCGATAATACCAATATGACGAGCAAAAAAATGTATGAAGTGGAATCGATAATAACGTCTCTTGTAACAGGTCCATACAGAGGTGTACGGTTACAGATATTCTGAAAATATGAAACTTTGTCAATCTTATGTAAAGTTTAAAATAACAACATGGTAGTTGCAGGAAAGAATGAATAGACTTCACGTGGATTCGATCCCACAACACCATGCGTGCAAGACAAGTGCTTTCCAACAGATCTAACTCACCCGATAACGTTGTACTGTTGAGTTAGGTTAATTAAAGGCGACATAGATTTTATAGTCTGAATCTAAAGATGTCTAAAGAAGATTACTGACTTACTATTTTATCATATACTGAGAATTTTCAAAGAACTCTGTGTCTTCCGAAATGGTTTACACATTTCCAGTTTGATTTTCTTAAACAATACCAAGCATTTAATTTTTGTAATAATGAACTGTGGTGTTTTCTTTGCGGTACGAACTGAATTACTAAATATTATTTAGACGAGCGTATGCATCAAAGAGTCAAGATACATTGCGGCAAGAGAATAAATGTCAAAAATTCGTAGTATTGGTACAATGAATCAGTTACTGCAACAAGATATTATAGCTGAGTTTCCCAAACAACCATTTTAAAGATGATCGAGAAATGTTCTTCGCTGACAACTTATTAATTTCTTTGACCGTTGATTTACAATGCTCTTAGCAAGAGACACCAAAGACAAACATATATAAATAAAAATAATTAATTCCACAAATACATTAGCACTTCTGTATGGCTTGTTTGTGTGCTTTAATTGATTTCATTAATTTATTTTTTGTTGTATCCCACCAATATTCCACTGACCACCGAAATGTAACTACTGGACTTCTGACAGCCCGCGGCACACTCTTCAAAGAACCAATACCGATGATAAAATAGAATACGATAGGTTCTTCCCACATCCTTTCCAAAATCGCCATTCATAGTCATCGTATCTACACGGACGTAGATCTTCGTGATCCAGAGATCGGCATGCACTTTGATGGTTTTGTGTGGACGACTAGGCAACGCGGGAACCGTGGGTGGAGGACGTGTGGGAGGGGTAACGCTGGAGGGAGGAATGCTGGAGTTGGCCTCAAGGTCCGACAGACCGACTCTATGAACTTCTTTGCCGCCGCCAACGAGATGCTCGAGGAATGCCAGTGGCCTCTAAAAATGGGGGGGCAGAGGAGGAGGTTTTACTATGCGCAGATTATGAGCAGGTAGTTAGTTACTTTTGCCGCCAGCTTAGTAAGTTGTAGTGCACTTATTTCCAATGAGCTACTGAGGGCGGTGTGGATGTAGCGTTCATAAACTGAACTTCTGGCTGGTAAGACGTCTGAAGAAATAGGGCTCAGTCATTCACAATAATTCAACACAATCATCATTCTAAAAACCTCATATATATCCAGAATGAAATCCACAGAGCAGAGTCCTCTTTTCTGAAGATAATTGTCACTCAGCCAACCAAGACATTTCCCAGGGTTTCATGCAATGTTAAGATTCATTACGAGATTTCTGATTCTCACGGTGGCGAGTTTGAATATGGCAGTCGTCTGAGTTGTAAAGCCGTATAGTCTGGTTGAAATTTACTTACGTTTTGCTCTGATGGTGGAGGCAGCAAGCACCTCTGAAATGTCGGTAGACTTCTACCAGACTAGATGGCATACAACTCAGAAGACAGACATCTTCATACATTGCAATACTGATATGAACCCTTCACTGGGCCCTATCCAAAGACAGAAAAACACCTTCGTATCTATTTGCATAAGATTCGTTGCATTATCGTCATGTCTATGATTCTGCCTCCCAAATAATCTCTTTCCTTCAAGACTTCCAACAAAATTGTGTATAGGCCTATATAATATTTCCCAGGAAGGTCTCAATTTTGATTTGGATAGTATGTGGAGGGAAGCGGCCAAGGCTTATTTTGGTTCAACATTCCAACATACGCCTGTTCCGAGAGGGGCTGAGGATAGTCATTAAACACCTCAGAATAGCCAGGCTTCAGGTTGAGATTCGAAACCGGGATCTACAAAATACAAAACAACCACTCAACTGATTGTAAAGCAGGCTGACTGCTGAAATGTTACCCCAGGGTTCAAGTGTAAAGTACAATTACATTTCAGTGAAATAACTTGGCCCGGTTGCTTCTAGCTATTCTTCTTGCGTTGTATCCTTTCTAATTGTGGGCGTCTGAGTTTCAAGGTCTAAATGAAAGATAAAAGACGACAGAAGAGACAAGTAAGTTTACAGTTTCCTTGTTCTAAGGGTTTGGATTTCCCGAAGAATGGAATTTGTGCCCTAATGTGCAATGAGTTGGAAGTGAGTGGTGGGTTACCTACCATTAACACAGTCGCCACTTAGAATTTAGCTTCACTACATTGTAATGCCTGTTGGTGTCTTTGAGGGTGGAGTAAAATTTATGTACAAAATGTAAAATGCGAAATGCATAACAAAGGCGAATGCTTTTCTTTCTATATAAACGTTTCAGACAAGTTATGAGAAAGCTTGCCCTGAAACGAGTGTGGTCATCACAAAAATATTCCACGTCTTGTTCACCGTCCTAGCAGAAACGTATATTCTTTGAATACCAATTCATAATCCAGTTCATGCTGAATTTTACTTTCTACAACTGAAACTCTCTGTGTTTCCGGCATTATTTATTACTAATACATCTTTTAATTACCTCAAGCTTTGAGAAGCCAAGTTGACAGCTTCACAATGTAATCAATGCCAGCATAGTAGCCCAAAGAAAAATGTTTTGTTTCCCCCTTGTGACGGGCCTTTAATAGGCCAAACATTTTAAAGAATACTGTTGTCTATAACGTTACGCTACGGAGTAGTCTCGTAGAAACTGAGCGACGTTTCAGAGGCGCTTACTGTCTCAGGGCTCTGATGACGGAGGTAGTAAGCATCTCTAAAACTTAGATCAATTTTTATTAGACTAGACGACACATCACACAAGACAGTCATATTCATACTCGATTCCGTCAGAACCTAAAATCTCAGTTTACAAATTACATTTATTTAAGGAAACATAATAAAACATTCTAAATATGTGCAGTTTGATACCTGTAGAGCGATTAGCTTCGCGAAAATAATTTTGGCTCGTAATTAAATAAACATCAAATATGAAAACTAACATAGAATAACCCTAGAAGTTATGTTTACTCCACTGGAGCTCTATTTATGGAAGGTGCGTAAATGTACACCATTCTATGTAAAGTGAATGGAACTGTATCTAATCTATTTTTGATTTTGTTATAAATACAATTTTCAAACCGCTTTAAATAAATATATATTAGTCCATGTGACATGGGTTATTTAGTGTAGTTATTTGTTTCAAGTACCAAAAGTAATTTATTACAAATATTACCACACAATCTCTACCTTCCATGAACTAAAGTTCATTTTTAGTACACGTATTTTTCACCTTCAGATAAATCAATTATCTGCGTTATTACAAAACGAGGGCTAGATTTCGAAGTACAAAGAAAGGATTTGTCGCATGCGCACTCTGTAGGTTGTCCACGTGACCTAGGCAGATGTGACGAAGTAGGTGACCTAGGCAACCAGTATCAGGTCAAGGCTACGCCGGGTCAAACCCAGAGCACAAGGGAATTCTTGCTGTAATGATAAACAGAAAGCAACACCTAACTGTTTCAACTTGTTAATATTGCATCGTTCTGCCAGTAACCGAATACGTTTAGTATCTACATACATATTTAAACGCTCTTTGACGAAAACGTGTGTTCGCATAATGTAACGCTGAATGCATTTGCGTATAAAATTGATGATATGACAGTGGTGATAACTGAAGGACTAGGAAGAGATCCGCTGCGGAATATTTTAAGGAAATAGCACTGCAAAATATTTTCTAGTACGAACAGAGTATTAACATTGTAAATAATATCTAATAGAAAGTAGATGCGACATCAACGACACTATAATATTTCGTGGTTTGAAGACGTAGAGGCCAGTTTAATAAATATAAATTAAATGTATAATTGTGCACTAGTAATTCTTAATCATTCTTTCGTTTATAATGTGAAGCTAGAGGCCGTAATGTCAACATTCTTGTGCTGACCTGCACGACTCAAAATGTAACTGGAATATCTCCTACGCTTAAATTTCAGTTAATATCACTATGATCTATGCAGTCTGCAAGTATTTGTAGACTATTCTTATTTCTATGACTGAATTTACCTCTATGCCTGCAGATATCTGTAATTCACATAGAATTTTTTTTCTAATTAATAGAAAACTCACTTGATGTACATTAGAACTGTTTGAAAAGCAACTAGCTAGCTACGACTACTTCAGGTCTACACATATGGTAAGAATTAGTAACTGGAATTATGAATATTAAATGTCGATTTTGTGTAATTCCCATACTATGATGTTGTATAATGGCCAGACTTTATTTGCAATAACAGGATTGTTGACTTGTACCGTAACATATACACTGACACAAAGTACAGAGTATAAATAATTCCTTACAAAAATACCCAATAACATTATTTCCATCGTATAAATTTGTAAAGGTAGATTAGACTAAGAATGCGTTTTTACACTCGATATACTTGTTAAGACATAGTAACAAATAAATAGTATCTTGGTTAAATTAAAAATTTGAAAGGAAATTTCTGTTTATCTACATCAAAGGTTGAATTTACGTTACATTTTATCGAAGACATTTCTGTCTTACTGCACTTTAAGTCCTATAATACCTACTTTTATAAGATAGAACCTGCAATCAAGCCGTTAATAACATTAATTTGTTTCAAACAATCTTTACAGAACATGTTGCACCCAAGCCTGTGGTCAGTAAAGCTGAAAATCACATCGCATACTTTGACTGGTAACTGATTAGAACAGTTTGTCCGAAGCTGAGGAAGAGACATCTCCATTTCTAATAAAAGGTAATGTAAAGCCACAATTTCTTTAATTCAAGGGTTATACTCTAACTACTAATCTGCTAAAATATACAGGTTAATGGGGGAAAAGTGGTACCAGCAGCTTTTCCTAATTCGTAATATTTCCACTGTATTTATAGCCTATATTATTCAAGGTATCTCACCTGTTACATAATCCCTTAATTATAAATCTGAGATGGGGAATAATTTTTCCTAATCTGTCACAACACTGTGAATAAGAAGTAATTTTAATGTAGATAACTAAGCGAATCAATTATAAATCAACATCATTCACCATAAAATCGGCCTATATTCTCGTAACTTTATTATATGATATATATACGAATTAACCGATCACTGTGTGTTAGTGCATTTCGCTGTACGGATGATAAAATTTATTCTACCAAAGACCCAACAGAATCTACGTATGTATCTAATCGAAGATGACTGTCTTAGGGATGTTGCGCAGTGTCATGATTACCCTGATTATGGAGGCAGTAACAACCTCTGAAAAGTCGGTCAATTTCTACGTGACTTAAAAGAGAGTCATTTTAAAACTCGCAGACGTGAGAACTCGCCATGTATTTATCTGCATACAATTGTGTCTCTGTTTGTAAAAGCCTCTGCAATTAACTTTAGGCGATGAAAATCGATACAATTTACTCTCTATTCGTGAAAGCCCTTTCAATTAATTCTGTGTTGGTGAAAGATTCTGTGACATTTGGGTCAAAATGATCCGTGGACATAAATCAAAGGCAGGTTAATGATATATATCAGCTGATAAAATGTAGAGGAGAGAAACTGTCCTAGACATCTGTGTGGAAGATGATTAAAAATAAGTCTTAGGGTCAACCTTTCTAATGAGTCCAAAGCAAACTCCTATCCGACTGGCTTGTCAAATTCCACAAAGAAAGAGATCAATAAAAATAAAAAATTAGTACAAATTCGAATAGACGGAGACGAAAGATTTTGTCGCGTAAGAAATCTACGAACTTCAACTCCATGCTGCATTTCCAAAAATACGGAACAAGAGGGCACTCATAGTAGCCGACAAACGTTAGTGAGCTAGCCTGAACTAAACAGTTAATTCGTTCTGATAGCGGTTAAAACAGACAACGGGTGTTGATAGTTGAGAAACAGAGATGCAATCTATCCTTCCACCACACACAGTCGAACTTTGTTCGTCTTACATTTCATCTCAGAGAACTTCTAGGAATCCCTATAGACGTATATATATATATATATATATATAATAAATATACTTATTTAAAATAATAAGGAGTAAATCACAGATTTCGATAGCTGTGTAAGCGCATCTGCTCGGTCAATTTTATACCTTAGACCTATCGTAACGTAACACACAGAATTCCTCTTCTTATCTTAGCTTCTACCCTTCACACAGAGAAAAAGAGAAAAAAAGCAGTCGAAACTGTTCTAGCGTTCATTTAACAAGCTTACTTGAATTAAAGAGCGTCAGGTTTGGAAGTTTTACTTTAATTCCTATAAATTTTTATGAGCCGGGATAGCTCAGTCAGTATAGTGACTAGCTACGGGCTGGACGATCGGGGTTCGATCCCCGACGGGGGCAGAGGATTTTTCCTCTAGCCTCTGGATCCATACCGGCTCTGGGGCCCACCCAGCCTCCTCTACAATGGGTACCTGGGGTTCTTTCCCGGGGGTAAAGCCGGCCTGGGGCATGATGCTGACCACTCACCCCCATCTAGTGTCGAGATCAAGGAAGAGAGGAGCTATACCTCCTCTCACCCCAAGCGCCTGTACGGCACGTAGCGGGACAAACTTTACTTTTACTTTTCCTGTAAATTTTAATGTAACATCATATAACTAGTGAAGCTGATAGAGCGACGTTAAACAAACACAAATTAGTGTTTACTGCAGAAGTGTAACAAAAACTGTTTTCAATGGGAACCCCTTGCTTTTCATCAATGATATATAATATATATAATAAATAAAATGGAGCAGTTTTTTTATTAAGTTTTATATCATTTTATTAATGTTTCGAAAGCGCTGTATTTGTATTCAGAATAGGGAGTTTTTCGATTTACTGAAATACTACGAGAAAATGTCATTGAAATCAACTACAAATAATGTAAGTTTCGTAACTTACTATACAATCAATGATAATCAGTTTCGTATTTGAGTACGAAGACCTGCATCAGTTGTCACACCGAAAGATAAACAATATTTTGAATCGTAACTACTAAGAATTCAACAAGTACTTACCGATCATCAAGTAGGCGGAAACTGCTTTACCCCAAACTGTGACTTATACCTATGACTGTTGTTAGGTACACTGCACTTTTACGACGGTGGTGACCATTATTCCTGCAGGATAACAATAAATTACAATTAAAATACGGAACATCACAAGAAACGTAGACCTAACAGTTATAAATAATCTGGAGTGAGATACAGGTGGTTTTCAGACCTGTCGACGTTTTTCATACAGCCAACATTTGCAATAATTTACAAGCAATAAAAACTCTTTTATTCTAATATAAAATTATTTAACATCAATGAAGCACAGGGCTGTTCTTCGTATTATAATTTATGGGTTGTTTTGGTCTTATTTATAAAATTGGTGAAGGTAAGTATTTTCTGAAAATTTATAGGCCTATCATACAAGATACTGGAGCCTGGACATTTGAATATTTCTAATTGCTCCTACATTAAACTCGCAGTAAATTTTTTTTCAAGAGAATTATGCAATACCCCTCCTTAATTAAGCTTATGTAAACATTCAGTTCAGAACAGACTTCACGTGAACCATGATCGTCTCATACGGAAACTGAATTAGTACTGGCTTGGTATTTAACTTCACATAAATTGTCACTTCAGAATTATGCCAGCTTGTGGTTTCAAGGGTGCATACCAAATTTTCGGAGGAACACACAATACTGCCTTCTTTTTAAGCATAGAAAATGGCTGTAATATTTCAACTTCTAGATGTTATAATTCACTGTTTTTGTCGTGAAACTGTTAACACGAGTGATTCATTATTCATTAGTTTCTCTAAAACAGAACAACCACAAGAATTATTAATGCTGGAAAGTCATCAAGATTTTTTCCTGACTTTTGCAGCCAGTAAAAAAAGTTTTTAAATTTGGCCATAAGAACAGTCAACTTAACTTAGTAATAATTGTATAAAATAATAAGTGAGGCAGTTATTTAGACATATATTTACGATCTACTTAAAGACGCTATAAGTTTGTTGAATCATAAAGCGTAGAACAATCGCCATGATGGTGGAAGCAGCAAGTAACTCTGAAACGCCGGTAAATTTTTACCAGGCTATACAGCGCAGCATACCTGAAGAGAGTAATCTTCAAACTTAACACCGTGAGAACCTGACATCTCAGTCTTGATATTATTTGCGTTCTAATCGAGTGACATGTTGAAATTTACTAGATTTTAGCAACTGTTAACTGCCTTGAAACACAAATAGTTTAAGTTCCTCTTCTTGATGTCACTAAGTGTATTATTTTAGCATTGATGATCTGAATTGGGGTATATGAGACCGGGACAGTGAATAATTATGTTACCGATAACGTTCAGCAAGCAGAACTACAGTTAGAAACATTAGCAGGTCAGAATTTCTCAGGCATTCCAAAATGTTACAGAAGAAAGTATCAGATGTTTTAAATAGATACTGATGGAATTCCAGACAGTTAAGTCAGATATATAAGGTGAAATGCAGCATAGGAAGTAAATTGTTAGACTTCTTAAAAACACCATGACTTGAAGCCTTCAGTAAAAGCAAAAACAAACAATAATAATAATGATGTAACAAACAGATAAGGAGTTTTGTTTTGTTTTCAGTCTGTTGCTAGTCTATTATCAAAGTAAGCGACAGTGGGTTTATTGCAAGGCAAAGGCTAAAGTGGTGGGGGAAACGAGCAGAATTTCAACTTGTCCCCCACCCCAGCTAACACAAATTATATCTCACTATTTTATTTACTTAGAAGTCTGAAGTACAATGAATTGTTCAACGTAAGGTTTGTATTTCGTTCCCTACCCATTCCCTGCCGTCTTCAACTCTTCTTCGGTGAAAAACCTTCAACGTTAGCCACCATCCGACTAGCGAACTCCATTTGTAAAACGTATTTAATACGCCACTTTCCTATTTATTGGGCGTACTTGATTTCAGAATCTGTGTATGAATTTATATTAAGATTGCAAGCCTCTGAGTCGACATTCAAGGCCTGTAATTGGCAAGGGAAACTTTACTTCAAACTAATATAGGCTTATTTGAGACATATTTTATTCCGCACTAATTTTACTGAAAACTAATGCAGGCTATATTAAATAATTATTCCCCGCATACAAAGATACATGGGAAACTATGTTAACTAACGAAACGGACAAAACAGAGGAAGAATTATATAACGGTCCCAATGGTTTGCACACATCGACGAAAATAAATCACGTGATAAGCGACACACTTTGCAAGTACGAGATAAATGATGAATGCATTCGATTTTGTCTGGGGAACCTCGAGAGATGGCAGAAGGTAAATATTTGAGATGGAAATGGATAATTATTAGGCTGCAACGATGTGGACTGAACTCAATCGGATCAGGACAGGTAAAAGACGTAGGCTGTTGTGAGCGCGGTAATGAACCTTGGGATTCCATGAAGGCGGGAAATTTGCTGATCAGATGAGCGCCTCTTGGATTTCCAATAAAGATTTCGTTGCATTCACGTCACCAGATAGTACAGCATCATTGGGCATCCAGTACCTTGGCGAGATTTCAGGTAGTCACGGCTGTAAACTACCAGATTGCACGGCGCAACTTCCCAAAAGACAATCACCTATCCAACACCTTATCCACATTACTAATTGTAGTCATCGGAAGTCCGTCAATGACCTTCAGGACTGGTTCCAAAAAAAAGATTACTCAAGACTAAAGCTGCGATATCTGGTGCTGTGCATTGCATGAAGGTATTGCTTCTGTGTTGTTCATCTTCTTCGTGTGCCCTCGTGAATG